TGACAACGGCATGGGCAAATAGCACTACCTATTTAACAATTCTATCTTGTCCCCCCCCCAAAAAAAAAATATGAGTTTGCCCCTCAAATCCCCCCAACCTTATTTTCAATTTCATGTGAATCCTTTCACATGTGAAATTTCATTGTAATTTTTAATTTCATGTGAAACCTTTCACATGTGAAATTTCATTGTAATTTTTAATTTCATGTGAAACCTTTCACATGTGAAATTTCATTGTAATTTTTAATTTCATGTGAAACCTTTCACATGTGAAATTTCAGTCGTAATTTCATGTGAAATCCTTTCACGTACATGCGAAATTTCACTTTGTAATTTGTAATGTTATGTGAAATCCTTATCTTTTCACATGTGAAATTTCACTTGTAATTTTTTAATGTGAAATCTTTTCACATATGTGAAATTTCACTTGTACATGTAATTTGTAATTTCATGAGAAATCCTTTCACATGTGAAATTTCAGTCTCAATTTCATGTGAAATCCTTTCACGTACATACATGTGAAATTTCACTTTGTAATTTGTAATTCATGTGAAATTGTCATCTTTTCACATGTGAAATTTCAGTCGTAATTTCATGTGAAATCCTGTCACATACATGTGAAATTTCACTTTGTAATTTGTAATTCATGTGAAATCCTTATCTTTTCACATGTGAAATTTGACTTGTAATTTAATGTGAAATCCTTTCACGTACATGTGAAATTTCACTTTGTAATTTGTAATTCATGTGAAATCGTCATCTTTTCACATGTGAAATTTCAGTCGTAATTTCATGTGAAATCCTGTCACGTACATGTGAAATTTCACTTTGTAATTTGTAATTCATGTGAAATCCTTATCTTTTCACATGTGAAATTTCACTTGTAATTTCATGTGAAATCCTTTCACGTACATGTGAAATTTCACTTTGTCAGTTTGTAACGTTTATGTGAAATTCTTTCACATGTGAAATTTCACTTGTGATTTCATGTGAAATCTTTTCACATGTGAAATGTCACATGCGATTTCATGTGAAATTCTTTCACATGTGAAATGTCACATGTAATTTCATGTGAAATACTTTCACATGTGAAATGTCACATGTGATTTCATGTGAAATCATTTCACATGTGAAATGTCACATGTGATTTCATGTGAAATCTTTTCACATGTGAAATGTCACATGTGATTTCATGTGAAATCTTTTCACATGTGAAATGTCACATGTGATTTCATGTGAAATCCTTTCATTTGTGAAATTTCACATGTGATTTCATGTGAAATTTTTTCACATGTTAAATTTCACATAAGATCACATAATTTCACATGTTATCACATGATTTCACATGAAATCACACGTGTGAATTCATGTGGATTTTTTGTAAGGGCTTTGGTATTGTGAATAAAACCTTTTAATCGTTTACTGCAAACTAATTTTATTTCGGATCACAATTTGTGACCACAATATGTGTTGTGAAAAACAACCATAATTATATGAGTTTATGATCAGGATAACGTGCTTAAATATATTCAAATAATTGAATTGAGTGTAACTAATCAGATATCTAATCAATTCTATTCAATTTCAACAATAAAAATGCCACTTCGCTAAAGGACTATGCCTGTTGAAATTTTTAGACATGATGCATATGATATTTCTTTTGTTAACAGCTAGAACCTGTAATCAGAAATGGCGGAGACAAAGGTCCTGGATACTATTCAAGCAATAAGGTGAGTGCAGTGCAATACTTTCTACTTCGATCTTCGATGCGCCTTGTTGCCTCGTGCAAATATGAATAATACCATGGGTGGACAGTGAGTGAAGGGGCTGTTGGGCAACTTATTAATTTGTGACGTCGCAATTCTGGGGGTTCCGGGGACATGCTCCCCCAGAAAAAGATAATTTTAGGTCTCTGAACCGGCATTTTCTGCATTGTGGAGGCACTTCGAGAATAATGTAAAGGTTATTTTAACAGTGTGAATCGAATGCGTTCATCGGAATTGAACAAATCTAAAACTACACTCTGAAAACATGGGGGAGGGGAGTGGGGGCAGCCACTGTTGTAGTCATAAGTTTGCTCCTCGAATACTTCGAGGAAACAGGATTTTATTTGGGTGTAATAAAGTCATAATGAAAAAACTTCAAAGCAATTATGTAATTGTTGAAAACCAAAAGATTTTAATAAAAAAGGCAAGGTGTCAATAAAGGCGTTGTTTTAAATATGGGGTCACCATTTCAAAGCATTTCTATTTAACATGTCTCAATGAAGGATATAAATACGAGGAATTTAAAATTGAAAACTGGCGAGTAGAACAAAATAAAAACTTCGAAAAATATTTCACTACACATTAAAACAGATGTCCCATCTCAATAATGAGATACCATCGATACCATATAGGACATTGACGCTGACGCTCCATTGCCTGATGAATTTGGAGGAATAATGCAAGCAACTCGCGAAATTGTTGATATGATTGACAAGATGGATGGACTTACTCCTTCTTCAGCAGCAAGATCATGTCGAGATATAAAACTGCAGGATCACGATGCTTCTGACGGTATGTATACTAGACAGGCTAAGATTGACGTTTACAGGAGACCGCTAACAGCAAACGGCAAACTTCTAGTTAGGGCAATTTGTGCACTAAAATTGAAGCATAAATTAGCTAAAAACATGTCGAAACCTTCGAAAATCTGCAAAACTTACCTTCAAATGCGATTTGAAGCTTGCTGTTGGCTGTCTGCCGTAAACTTCAATCTTAACCTCTCTAATTATTTCTCACGTGTGACATCAATATGCACAAGCATGAGACAAGATCTACAGTAGTGTACAAAGAGAGTGAGTGTACCTAGAGAATGTACCTAGAGATCCACTAAGAGCTGACCTTTTATTGGTCCAGTGGTACTACAGGAGGAAAACTGAGGAAATTGAAGTACTCAGGAGTGTTTGGCAGAGTCAAACTGGAACCACTCTTTTACGTGCGATTAAAGCGAAACTATCATAAACATGCAGTGGATCATCTGAAAACATTCACAAATATTCACAGGCATTTCGAGTTTGTTAGATTGCTTCTCAAACAGACTTGGATTTAAGACGATAGTTGAGTAAATTTATGGGCGTTTATTACCGTGTTATATCATGACAACAATACGGTGCTGGTTTCCTTTGTGTTTTTCTCATGACGTATTAATGAGTTGAGAAGTAACCATGCATATGACCATATCGTTGTTTCAGTACATGTAATCGTTGTCATATAAAGTCTCATTATAGTGAACATAACCTTAAAGGAATTCATATAACATTAAAGGAATTCAGTAAATTATGACAAACCAATTAAACCACAGATTAAACTAAATTTATGTATTATTAGAGAGGTTCAGATCTGACTTCCACTATTGCTACCACTAGATCGTGCATCTGTTTGGTTAATCTGATTGATTAAACGCATTTGATTGGTTAATGGTCCCTGAATGGTAGCGGTAGCGGTAGCGGTAGTGGAAATCAAATCTGGACCTCTCTAATATGGGCGATCGAACTTTCATACTATTTACTTGACTTGAGAATTAAGATCGGAAATGACAAGTAAACGCATAAGCTGTTCCAGCACTATATAACAGACATAGTGTAACTCGTATCAGAGACGACAAGGAGCAGGCACAGTCGTCGTTTTGCGAAAGCAAAACTCTTCTAGCAAATTTAATTGGTCTGTATGTATATGTAGATATGTTATGTCTGAATAAAATATTTAGGCGTTTATTGGATTGATCCTGACTGGGGTAGCCATGGCAACGCTTTCCAAGCCAGGTGTAAATTCACTTTGCAAGAAACGTGCATTAATTCTACGAAATCTAACAAAGATGAAAAGGTATGTCATGCTCTTTATATCAGTGGAGCACTACAGTCATTGTGCATGATAACTTAATTAAGAGTCGCTTGTGATGTTACTCTGAGTGTATATCCACACCGGGCAGGCTTGAAAAATATGCCTGACCACGGTGGGAATCGAACCTACGACCTTTGGAATACTAGCCCAAATTCCAATGCTCTGCCAACTGAGCTACGCGGTCAGGTCGGTTCGACACAGAAAATATCTTAATTATTAAGAGTGTTTGAATAAGTCGACAGGTGCAAGGCAACGTGACCGAATGACTGACCACTTGTCAGTGACCGAGCAACTCAATCGGTCCATTAATCGGTAACTTTTATAGCTTGTGGTCAGGGCCGCCCAGAGGGGGGGGGCAAAGGGGGCAAATTGCCCCGGGCCCCGAGTTGCTGGGGGCCCCTGAAAAATTTTTGTACGGCCCCAGCCTTTTTTGTGTGTTAAATATTTCCGCGCAAAGGACAAGATATCTGTTTTCTTGGGCTAAGTACCGAATTTTGGCATAAAAAAATGAGATAAAGTCCCTCGAAAGCATTTGCAACGTACTCGTCCGGCAAAATTTTGTACTCCGGAAAAAATTTTTACCCCTAAAATGGTACACTGACCGAAAATTTTTTGGCGACGGGGGCGGGGGGGGGGAGGTTGTTATCCGGAAAAAATTTTTCCGGGAAAATTTTTTTAGATAGGGGCCCCTAAAAAAAAATTTGCTCCGGGCCCCCGCCAACCTCTGGGCGGCCCTGCTTGTGGTATTTAATTATGTGCCAAGTTTATAAAACTTTAGTGTACAAAACATGGTTGAAACCGGACGGTAATGTCCATATCGGTTGTTTAATTTTAGTTCGTGTATGCAGATGAAATTCAAGTGAAATTCTTGCGATTGTTAAGTGTCTCTGTATATCAACGAATAACATACCACTGCAAGAACTCGATGGCGTTTGATGGCAAACAGAATTCTATTAACTTGATCGGAGAAAATGAGATTTTCAATATGAACAGTCGAAGTAAATACAGACCCATGATCATCCAAGATGACTGCAAGGTATGTCTTTATGATAGATGTATGGTATGATGATGACTGCAAGGTATGTCTTTTTTCCCTTTCGGTAACTTTCCGTAAAGGATTTTATCAGCTTTGCATTATGTCAGAAATAATTAATGAGGAAAGATGGTAGGTATCCAGTCAATACCAGGGCAGGTTTAATTAGCCTTTCTCACGCCGTCATTTTTGGACGTACGCCGAGTGAATAAGGGATTTGTATAACTATAATTGTGAGTATAATCATTATAAGTTAATTAACAGTTAAATATTTGAAAAAATGTTTTCACATCGCTTAGATTTTTCACGTCGTTTTCAAAAAGTACCCCAAAAATGGCGAATTTGGCCTTCGTGAGAAAGGCTAATTTACAGTGTTTGTTCAAGATTGTTTTTCTGGTACAAGCTCATAAATTTCTGAGTGCCCTAACCTGTAACCTCCAATAATTATGACAAGATTTTCATTCTGGTCTTTCTTTCAGATAAGTGACGGTGTGTGGCATAAGACGATATTCGAAGTGAGAACGCCACAGAAGGAACTGCTGCCGATTATCAAAGTAAAACCATTTGACACGGGCTTAGATAAAGAATACAGGATTGAAGCGGGAGGTGTATGCTTTGTGTGGTAAAGAACGCAATGCAAACACGGAGCCTGCTTATCACTCAAACAACATGAACAGGCATATCAGCATGAATAGGAAAATACATCTTATTATTAAATAAAGATAGCCAATAAAACGTTATGACTTATGTACATTTCTTTATGTAGAACTAGCTTGTTTTCTGTGATTAACACCAATACTCCCAGGCTGTTTTAAATTACTTTGCTTAATTAAACTTTTGTATACATGCGCGATGGGTGCATTGGCTAATATTTTATTATCAAAGTTATTAAAGATATAATTTAAGATCACTGATCTAGATTTTGATTATAGTGTGTTACTACATCTGTATAAAAGCTTGTCGTAAATATGAGTCGGGTTTCCGTGTCGAGTTTGTTTGTTTTTTCGATAATATCAGGTCTTCATGTTTCGCGCATGATTGCGCTAGTAGCCTGGTACAGTGGCAAAGGACCTTAGATTCAATGTCCACTTAATTATATTTCCAGTTGGAAGATTAAGAAATAAAGTTTTCTCCCAGTGATTTGATTCCATTTGCAGGGTCGCACAGAGAAATTTGGAACACATCATAAGATTGGGGCCCCAGGTTTGGCACATGACATCTAATTCAATGACTGGGCCAAAAATATTCTTTTCAGTTTTCGCCCAGTGCAGTAATGCACGGGCAATGTGTCTCCCAATATATACCTAATCCGTGATGTGATAATTGTGATACAATCATTAAAATGCTGTGATTAATGCATGCAAAGTTGTCTACATCGTCGTCACAGAACACGATTACGTGCGTTGTTCAGCAGACTGGCATATTGGTCTGCGAGCGGAGTGTTGTCTGGGATACAATATACTGGGTGTATCATGAAGTATCAACAAGAAAATTCAAGATGGCTGAAGAAACTTTAAATTTGAAAGAAGCATTTCAACTTGGTTTTAGCATATTTAAAAAGATTGAGAGCGATGTTGGATCTGGAAATTCGAAGCAATTACAAGTAAGAATATTGATGATACAATTCCACTATATTTGCAACATGTATTTTAATTCAGTTTTAACCTAATCAATAGGTTTGTAAATTTGTATAAAGTAATTAAAAGTATAGTTTTATGTTACACGGCAAAAAATGCCGAGCCCGTTGCTCAACAGGACTGAACAATGTTTTGCTGCCCACGTTGTTCACACTTGTCAACAATATTGAACAATGTTGTTGAGCCTGAATCGGGTGTAACAATATTGTTCAATATTGTTGACAGCTATGAACAATGTGGGCAGCAAAACATTGTTCAATCCTGTTTTCATCAGTATTGCATCAACCTGAGCATTTTTTGCCGTGTACGCTGTGATTATAAGTCCAGCACCGGACCTTCTTGCTTCACAGCAAAAGGTCCGACAACGCTTTAAAAGCTAACACTAAACCCAACTCTAACCCTGAAAACTAACCTAACCCCTAACGTACCTATTACCCAAAAGGGTAAAAACTTGTAAAAACCACGAAGAAAAAAGTTTAAAAAATTAATAAAATTGAGGCGCGAGCAGGATTCGATCCGCGAGCTAGTACATACAACGTTAGTCTCCTACGCAGCCTGTGTTAGTGGGGAGAGAACCTCGGACCCGCGAACAGGCTGCGTAGGCGACTAATACAATGTGGGTGCCTAAACCACAACACTACAGAGGATTTGCTTGAAATTTAATTAAATTTATGAGCTTTTATTTTTAATGAGTTTAATGATTATGGAAATGTCAGACCTTTAACCACTTCCTTTATGTTATTATCAAAAGACCTTTATTTTCAAGATGCCCCCTTCATCTAGAAAATTTAGGACCCTGTCCAACATTTAGTTTGTTACAAAGGTTCTATTTTTAATAAATCAGTTACTATAAAATTATACCAAAAGGTGTCCTTTGAATGGTGAACTTTTTTGCATTATTTTATATTTGACATTAGAATTAATTTTTAGTTAAGAATAAGTTTTAAAACACGGCTAGATAAAATGAACGCGGCTTCATTATTTATATAAGGCCATGTACAGTACCGATCACGGGAAAGTTAACAATCCGAATTAAAATAAAACGTTAAGAAATATGACATTTCGCGCCTAATTTCCGAACTTGGAAACGTAATTGGCAAGTTCGCAACGAAGTTGGGAACCGCGCGTTGAAAAGTGACTTGAAATTAACAATAACCAAGGTCTCCAGTAGCTATATTAATCCAAAGTGGTTTCTGAATATGTATGTATACTTACCTGCAGAAAGATATAAAATGTAGGCTAGAATATCTTTCACGCTTCCACATAACAAAATCTTTAGATTTTCGTTTTTAAATTTCTCCGCCACCTCCGACCATAACAACATCTTTTGTCGCTATTCGTGAAACGCTATGCAACCGCATACTTTGACACTTAGACTCTTTAGTCAGTTCACGAAGCATTTCGAGACTTTTTTCTTTCAATGTGAACACTCCAATTAGACAGAGCAGTGAAGTTTTTGCAGTACAGAACAATTACAAACCGGCTGAATGAAAAGCTTGCGACCTTGTATCGGCTTTTATTAGCGCGTTCGGAATTATTTTGGAGTCGATGACTCACATTGTTTGTCAAAAACAGAACATCAATCGGTTTTCGGCATTGTCTATTGAGACCAAAGACAGTGGGCCTTTTGTCTTGATCGGTTATTGTCTTCTGAAATTAATTGCGCTGTGAAATCTCTTTAACTATATAGCTCGTAGATTTTGTGAAAACTCGTAAGTCCCAAAAGGCAAAAAAGTCTCTAAACAACCAAATAACGGAAAATCCATTTCAAATCTCAAAAAATCTCGAAAAAAATGATATAAAAACGGTTTCAGCTTTGAACAAATTTCATTAAGGGGCGAACCATTAGAAATCCCGGGAGGGGGGGTGAAAATTCAAAAAAAAAAATTTGTGCAAAGGAAAATGCCTGGAAAAAAAATTCGTGCAGCCATTACGTCAGAGAAAAAAAATTCGTGCAAGCAAACAGATAGAAGTACAAATAGTCTTGAAAAAAAATTCGTGCAGAGGTTAAATGCATTAAAAAAAATTCCTGCAGAGACACGAGACTGAAAAAAAAATTTGTGCTGCAAAAATTTTATACCCCCCCTCCCGGGATTTCTAATGGTCCGCCCCTAATACTACCATTTTCGAGCTTCCGTGAAGCGTGCATTTATAACTACGTTTCAAAACGTTTCTTCAGCATGAGTTTGTCAATCATAGCTTTTTGTTTTGCAATAATAACTTTTGTGGGCGTGGTGTCAAGCACATTGTTTTGCACGCGAAAATTTCTTCTTATTTTTCACACGGACTGACTTTATACTGACAAAATTGCTATAGCACCTTCTGGATATGTTTACGTAACAAACCTCTGTAATACAAGTGCCCTTTTGAGTTTTGACGCCGAAATTCAAAGTTTCGCGTGCAAAACAATATGTTTTATACCGCGCCCACAGAAGTTATTATGTCAAAACAAAATGTTTTAGGAGCGAAATAAAAAGTTTTGAATGACAAACTCATGCTGAAGAAACGTTTTAAAACCTAGTTATAAATGCACGCTTTACGGAAGCTCGAAAATGGTAGTAAAGATGTGCAGCATACTGTCGAAACAAATCTACTACTGTAAGTGTAAATGTCTTTAGCAGGCTTATTTCGGCTTTCCCGTCCACGCAACGACGCGGGATGGGATTTCCGTCCCAAACGACGTTCCCACGGGACGGGAATCCCATCCCGAGGGACGGGAATCCCGTCCCGCACGGGACTGTTAACTTTCCCGTGATTGGTACTGTAGGTTCATAAAATAAGATGGTGCTACTTACAACAGACAGAATTTCTTTCTATTTACGTCATAAGAAAGTTTGTAAAATCTTATTGTTGTTGTTGAAATTGGCAAAAGTGATCTGTGATGTTTTAATGTTTTGATGGATAATGGGAACTGTATGGTGTTAAAGTGGTTTTAAATACCCCCAAGAGTTGCTTTAATGTCAGTGTGCAATATGAGTATATGCTCGCCCTGTATTTGGTTGCAAAGCATAGAACAACAACAGACATTGTCTGTTGTTGTAGAACCGTGAATTTGGCTATTTAAGGTAATTGACATGTACACCCTGGTCATTTAGAAGCACGTCCAAGATCTAAAATCCTAGCTAAGACCGCATTGCACCCAGAAAGTTGTAAATGCAGAAGGCAAAGGGTGCACCCGTTGCACCTGTGGTTCCGGCATCCTTGGTGTGAAAAGGCTATTTTATTTTCAGTGATATAATCTTGAACTGTCTGTGCTAGTATACCGGGTGTCCCAAAAAAGTACTCCGGTTTGATTCGTAATAACTTCTAAACAAGTAAAGCTTTTAAAGAGAAATAACTTGCATCAAATAGAAGAAGGCCTAACTTAGATTTTGATATATTACAGTTGCATTTCACTTAAAAATTCACAGAGATATTAATGTTTAAAATTGGGAGCATATTTCTGGATGTGTCTGAAATAGGCAAAAAACAGCATATCAAATATTGATCAAGATTTGCCCGACTGAAACATGCACTATTACCAGTAAATAAATGACACTTGACAAATTGTTTATTATGAAACAAAGTATTATTATATACAAAATACAAGCAAGATTTATTCGTCCGAAATCCGCGTGTGTTCCTAGCACAAATACGTTTCCTTATTTCATGAGACCACTGCATCACGAAGGTCGTCATGGATCGTTCGTAGTTCGGAATTAGGACATGCTGTCACAGCTGTCACAATGGAATTGTGAAACTCTTCTAACTTCTGCAACGTTTTGAAATCTTGTTAAGAACACCCAAACTCTTTTGCATTTTCTTAATCTTGGCAAGTTCAGAATAAACTGAGAATGAAACACAATCAAACCATACAACTCCATAAGACATAACAAGCAACTCCCCATAGACATCCAACATTTTAGGAACAAAACGTAACAAAATAATAGCGTTGATACTGTGATGTGTATTTGCAAAAAGCAATATTATTTCCTTCATTAAAGAATAATATTCATCTTGCCCTAACCGAGAAATAATCAACTCTGTTTTGAACCCGTGAAAAAACATAAAAAAATAGTAAGGCTATTTAAGAAAAATTTAAGCACCTGCCTTGCGTGGTCTTTCATGTACCTTTAAGTTTGTAAAAACCTATTAAATACTTGCATAATTTCGAGCGTTCATATTTCTGGAAACAATGAGCTAAGACTTACATGTAAGATGTCTAAATCTACGCCATATCCCTTACAAACCCTAACGACAATTCGCTGAAATACAAGTTAGCCTGATATGTCATTAAGCAAACAAACGCTGGAGTTAATATTTGATATGCCGATTTTCGCTAATTTTAGACACATCCCAAAGTATGCTCCCGATTTTGAACATTAATATCTCTGTGAATTTCTAAGTAAATTACAACTGTAATATATCAAAATCTATGCTAGTCCTTCCTCTATTTAATGCAAGTTATTTCTGTTTGGTACTGTAGCTTTACTTGTTTAGAAGTTATTATAAATCAAACCGGAGTACTTTTTTTTGGGACATTGGACTGGTAGTGCCAATAAAATGAACAAGCTTTCGTTTGTAGGGATGCAACTGCATGGAAATATGTAAGGAGAAATTTGACGTTTCGAGCGAAGACCTTTCGTCTCAGTAAGGCGTAAAAAAAAAATACCTGTGGTTCCGGTTCCCGACCGATCCTATTTTTTTCTGCCGACCCTATTATTTTTTCAACGCGATTGACCATGTGACCCTATTTTCCCCGGGTGGTTGTGGGCTACTGCCAAAATGGCGTATGTTGTCACACTAATTATTGAACAAACCATGAAAAAAATCTTCCAAAAAAAATCTACTGACCCTCATTTTTTCGCGATATGAAACCGGAACCACAAGTATTTTTTTTTACGCCTAACTCCAGACGAAGGGCCTTCACTTGAAATGTTGAATTTCTCCTTATATATTTTCAGGTAGTTGCATCCCTAGCAACGAAAGCTTGTTTATTGTATTTTCCATTGATCTTGAGTTGAATAATTTATGCTGTTCTGAGTTCTATAATTTATCATAAAATTATAAAATCCTAACAAAACTTCTCTGACATGTATTAGGATTGCATTTGTGAAGCGATAGACTGTTTTAGAAGAGCAATAGAAATGATCAATGATCTGGCATTATTTAGCATCAATGAAGACCTGGATGAAATTTCCACTGCAGATTTAAGGTACAGTGGAACCCTGTTATTACAGTTAATAACGGGCTGTAAAAATTTGGCAATATTAATAATTATCCCATTGAGTGCTAGCACTCTCCCATTGACGAGAAAGTAGTCTGGCATTAGATGGAGTAAATAAAGTAGGCCACGTTAGGGTGTAATGCAATTTAATGGGTTAACTAGACACATGGGTGGATATAGTCTGATTAAACATTGAGTGTTAGTGCTCTCACCCTTGATGAGTAAATCATCTTGCTTTAGGTAGAATAAATAGTAAAGTACAGGTAGGGTGCATGCATTAGGATGCAATGCAACTTAATACAGTTTACATGGTAGCAATGTATCATTGTGCTGTATTGCCTAGTGGATGACCAATAATCAGAAATAGTCAATTAATGCATTTATATTGATTGATAGGCAATCTGAATCAGTAGAAGTTCTATTATTATTATAGGAAATATGAATAATAATTAAAATGGTTTGATGGTGATACTCAGTTTGACTCAAACTTTGTAGTGGGTTGACAATTATTTTATCATGTGAAGAAATTGTATTAGTTTCTAGAAGTTGTATTTAGTGCAACTGATGAGCAAGGGCCCGCATGTACATGTAAGATTAAATTCTGACAGGTAACGTTGCGTTGAAATGGTGAAATGTAGAAGACAAAATAAGAACATTTGATGCGAAGTGACATGAAAAAGTGGAAAACAATGACATTCTGAAAGTGACATGGAAACACTTTATTACATATTTACTGTTTTGAAAATCAGCCAAGCACTATAACAGCTGGGCCCTAGAAGTGATGCTGCACCTTGTAAAAATGTTAACCCATCGGATTAACCCATGTTGGATCTGTCCTATGCCTTAATGTGGCATATGTTTAAGCAAGTCACAAGTGTTTTACTTTATTGACTTTGATTTCAGATATTTGTTAGTGCCAGCACTACTTGGTGACTTGTATCTGAAACTTTGCTCAGAAGAACGTATTGATGTTGTCACCATTTCCAAGGTACAGTGGTGCGTGTATGTATACATGTACTGTATTCTGGCCCTGTTGGCTGTTGTTGCTCAAAATTTCAGTCTGGAAACATTTTCAGTCTGGAAACATTTTCGGCCTACATTTACGTTGTACTGCCCCCTTCACCCTCCCCCCCCCCCCATGTCCACCACTGCTTCCTTACAGTAGAATACTTTTGCGGTTTTGCCTCAGGTATATCTGCTAAATTACTTGGAAAGATGCAAAATGTATGGTTTACTGAAACAGGTATTATATGTCAAATATTTCCCTCATGTTTGTTTTACTGCATAGTTAACTTCCTTTGAAAATAATAATTAAAGAATGCGATTGTCTCCTAAAGAGAGCTTTTATATAATCAATTATGAGTGCTGTATTCTTTCACATGAGCAAGAGGCATGTGGGTTGTACCTTGTTCCATATTTTGTAAAACCCAGGGTGCTTACAATACAATACAATATAATGCATTACAATACTAATCTATTATGAAAATGCTACAGGAATATGTGGTATACTGTACTTGCATGCGCTTCAGAACAGTAACTTATTGTGAGACTTTTCACTGTTAACGAGTGGTAGGTCCGAGTTTATTGGTGTTCAATAGTCGCAGTACGCATGAAAGATCTAAGTATCATCAGCAATTCTGCATATATAAAATCGTTAATAAAAATGTTGAGTATCAAGGGGCCAATATTGATCCCTGGGCAATCCCCTTGGTGACAGGCCACCAAGTAGAAAATTGATCACCTACTGGCTACTGTATCTTTACACGTTGTCGACCATTGATAAAATAAACATGAGGTAAAGATCCATTGAGACTGGACCAACAGTTACTCAATATATAGTACTGAGGAGCACAGTTTCCCACCAGACTGAAGAGCGCAGTTATGCACAAAAGTGAGGAGCACAGTTTCGCACCAGACTGAGGAGCACAGTTTCACTTCAAACTGAGCAGCACAGTTTCGCATCACACTGAGGAGCACAGTTTCGCATCACACTGAGCTGCACAGTTTCCCACCAGACTGAAGAGCACAGTTTCCCACCAGACTGAAGAGCACAGTTTCCCACCAGACTGAAGAGCACAGTTACGCACCAGACTGACGAGCACAGTTACGCACCAGACTGAGGAGCACAGTTTCGCATCAGACTGAAGAGCACAGTTACGCACCAGACTGACGAGCACAGTTACGCACCAGACTGAGGAGCACAATTTCCCACCTGACTGAAGAGCACAGTTACGCACCAGACTGACGCGCACAGTTATGCACCAGACTGAAGAGCACAGTTTCCCACCAGACTGAAAGGCACAGTTTCCCACCAGACTGACGAGCGCAGTTTCCCACCAGATTGAGGAGCGCAGTTTCGCATCAGACTGAGGAGCACAGTTTCGCACCAGACTGAGGAGCACAGTTTCCCACCAGACTGAAGAGCACAGTTTCCCACCAGACTGACGAGCGCAGTTTCCCACCAGACTGAGGAGCGCAGTTTCGCATCAGAGTGAAGAGCACAGTTTCCCACCAGACTAAGGAGCACAGTTTCCCACCAGACTGAGGAGCACAGTTTCCCACCAGACTGAGGAGCACAGTTTCCCACCAGACTGAGGAGCAAAGTTTCCCACCAGACTGAAGAGCACAGTTCCGCACCAGACTGGGGAGCACAGTTACGCACCTGACTGAAGAGCACAGTTTCCCACCAGACTGAAGAGCACAGTTTCGCACCAGAATGAGGAGCGCAGTTTCCCACCAGACTGAGGAGCACAGTTTCCCACCAGACTGAAGAGCACAGTTTTGCACCAGAATGAGGAGCACAGTTTCCCACATGACTGAGGAGCACAGTTTCCCACAATCCCACTAGATTGAGGAGCGCAGTTTCCCACCAGACTGAGGAGCGCAGTTTCCCACCAGACTGAGGAGCGCAGTTTCCCACCAGAATGAAGTGCACAGTTTCGCACCAGAGTGAAGAGCACCATACTATTCACACTTAAGATGTAATGGCACGTTATTTAACTTGAAAGCCTAGAGCTGACTTGGTCATTTTTTAGTATTATTAAGCTCATATTTACACGAGACAATTTGTGCTGCTGCCATTTCCAATCCAATTTTTCACACAGAGCCAATTTATGCGAGAGAGTTTTAACAAAAAAAGTAGAGCATTTTTACTTTTCATTTTGTCCTTCCATGTCTTTATGGTATAGTATTGTATGTTAGGGACGGAAAATGTGGGCGTGATGAAACGTGAGCTAAGATCACGATTTTTCTGTGAATAGTTTTTACATAACATGGCTATGTTTCAGATATTCTGTTTACAAGTTGTTGCAAAAATTGCCTTACGCAACATGACCTTTACACCAAAGTATTCTATTCTTTTTAACGCAGGTTGATTTTATTGGTAAAAGGTGTAGGATATACGATAGAATTTTTCATTTTTGTAGGATGTTAATCCCCAGTCATCATCTGAAGCAACGTCATCTTCAAGTCACAAAAGTCTTGAAGAATTAGCGAACGAAAGACAAGCGAAAATTACCAGATATAAAAGAATGAAGGAGCAAGAAAAACAAATTAAAGCGAGTGTAACGTTTTTATGATATTTTGCTTTCCTACATTTCTTGGTATTTGTAGTATTTTGATCTCTGCTTTTGTAAGAATATGCATGCTTGAATTTACGCTTATCCACTCGATAATTTGTTGTGTCGCTGTGTTTGTCAGTCTGAAAGTATAAGGACAGGAGTCTTACTGTACGTTTGGAGCGAAGGCTAACTGTTGATGAGAATGCCATTCTTCGAGATATGTTAAACCTTTTCTTT